CCCGGGTTACATGGATCCGACTTACATCGGATCCCTACTTACAACCGGGGTGAGGCACCCCCGCACTAGCTACTTCCCCCCAGCAGACTAGGGAGATGCGAAGCTAGCGCGTCCCCCTCCCCCCGCCCAGCAGACCAGGGAGAGGTGGAGCGGCTTTTCTCAGCAGACACCTCAGTTTGAGATTAAAGGACTGAGGGAAGTGAGGTGTGGGAGAATAAAACTGAGCTCTGGAGAAATGTTTGGCTAGAGTTTCCCCTACAATATGTACCAGTTCCGACTTACATACAAATTCAACTTAAGAACAAACCTACAGTCCCTATCTTGTACGTAACCCGGGGACTGCCTGTACAACTAAACCACCATTTTGCACTGGGACAAGCTGCTACATCCTTGACTCGATACATAGAACTCCTTATGACTTAGCACACGGCTCAGCACTTCAGATGCATGCTATTTTGGAGTTGCTAGGACAATTGCTGCATGGAAGTAGGATTGTAGCAGGCTTGGGGACTCATGTTTCCTGTAGGTATGGGGAGGGATGCAAGGAACAGGGCTAGGATGAAGAAATCACAAAAGGGTTGAAGGAATTAGGAAGAAAACATCAGCTTCTCTGTCACAGTGAGAGGCCTGAGAATAGTGATTTTATTAATGGCCCTTTGTTTCATCCTTTAGCAGAGGCACAATCGCAAGTGATACACAATCGCAAGTGAGAACAGTACACTATCAAGCATGATGAAATATACGAGTAATGTAGCAATCCACATGAGTTCTCTGCCAGGAAATATTGGACTTTGTCTTTTCCATGTAGCCAAGCACACATGATAGGGGATTTCTGAAGCCACATTTAACTGCCTTCCCATTTTTCCCCACAAAAGCACACCAGGAGCTGCCTCCTAAAAAGCCCACTATCAGACACAGATCTCTTAAGTCCATAATAAAAAATCATAGCCAAACTTTTTAAAATGTAACTGGGGAAAAGTGAGATATTCACAAACATATCTTTAAAAGTAAGTAACAAGCAAAAAAGCTAAAAAAAATATGTAATAAAGTTCATGAAAAAAAACTTACTGTTATTTTGGGGGTCTAAGCTGCTTGTGTTTTCTGTAATTAGAAATCTCACACTTAATTTTGGATTTACATTTCCTCACATACATTATCTAATCCAGTTATCTCTTTGCCACCACAATATTCTCCATTAACCAGGATTTTCCAATGAAATTTTTTTTTCTCCATAGGGATGCTGACCTGTTGTCAACTATACGATAATATATCTTTAAAAGTAAGTACAGTAAAACTCCGGTGGTCCGGCATCCAGTGGTCCGGTACGCCTGATGGTCCAGCACCAACTGCAACCCGGAAGTGCTCCGGCAGCTGCTTCAAGTTGTGAGAGTAATTGATTAACTGGCTGGATCCACAGCCGACACGCAGTTAATGTAACTTTCCTCTCTACTGCTGGGGGGGGAGGGGGGCAGGGAAAGGTAGGAGTCAGTGGGGTGGGGGTGTGCGCATATATACACTGCTGATATTTATACAGTCTGTTAATTATTCACTTAAACACTAAAAAATGCAAATTTTAACAAACCACTGAAACTTAAATCTGTAACTTTATTGTGCCATGCTGCACAATTACTCATCATCCGATGAAACCAGTGCTGCTTCATCCCTGTTATCATCCCCCTCTTCAATATCCTCCTCTGCTTCTATGGGAGTGTCAACAACAGTAGGCTCTGGTGGTGGTGGTGAAGAAAAAGGCTGAACTGTCTTCTGTGCCCTTGCAAACATATCCCTGAGATCAGCTTGCTTAGAGGACTGTGACTTCTTAGCATAAAAGTTATTCAGAATAATATGAAGGTTCATCACTTCAGCTGCATTATATTGGCTGCAAGACTCTGCAAATTCTACAAATTTGGAAATAAATTCAGTTGCCTCTCGCCAGGTATATTTTGCTCTCTCCATCACTTCCTCTTCTTCTTGTTGTTGTTGAGGTTTTTGTGGATTCAAAACACTTTCAATGATCGTAGCATCACTCAAAATTTCTACAACTGGTTCATCTTTGTCCATGGCAAGCCATTGTTCAATGTCATTTTCTGAGAGCTTTGCAACAGCATTCTTCTCAGAGACATTTTCAATTATTTCTTGTATGTTACTAATGTGCTTAGGCCTAACATTAAATCCACAAAATTCCTCTTCATCAGAAGAATCATCACAAAACATGATGCTAGGCCAAAGTTTCCTCCAACATTTTCGTACAGTAACCTTCTTTACGTCTTACCAAGGCAATGCAGCTACATACACAGCGTCCTTAAGGTTGAAATCAGATTGAAATTCAGAAACACTGCAGTCTGAGTTTACCAACTTTTGGACAGAAGTCCCCCTGTAGAAACACTTAAAGTTCTGTATCAAACCTTGATCCATCGGTTGGAGCAAAGACGTCACGTTTGGTGGCAAATATGTAAGTGGAAATATCTTCGCTACAAGCTCTGAAGCGGGCGGATGTGCTCGACAGTTATCGAGCAAAATAACAGCTTTACTATCCTCCGGTAGACCCTCCTTTCTAAAATTCTCCTTAACTGCGAGCACAAAAGGATTAAAAAAAACAGTCCTTAAAGATTTCTGACATCATCCAAGCATTCCCCTGTGCCTCATAAATCACTGGCAAACTCGTAAGAGTTTTAAATGCCCTTGGTTTTTTGTACTTCCCTATGACAAGAAGCTTAAGTTTATGCGTGCCAGATGCATTTGCGCATACCAGAACTGTAATGCGGTCTTTGTTCATTTTGAAGCCATGAGCAGCCTTTTCACCACCGCCAACGAGAGTAGAGTTTGGCAAACAATGCCATAAGAGTCCAGTTTCATCAGCATTGTACATTTGACAAGGTGACAACCTGTGTTCCTCCACCAACTGCTCAAAAATAGCACTATACTCCTCAGCGGCTACATGATTGGCAGACTTTTGCTCACCACTGATATCTAATTTACGGATCCCGTGCCGATCCTTAAAATTACGCAGCCAACCTTCTGAAAACACACGATTTGTTAATATTCATTTGACTGTGAAACTGTTTTGCTTTTTCTATGAGCACTGGCCCAGTAATGGGCTTACCTTCAGAACGCTTTGCACTAAACCACTTAAACAAAGCTACAACCAACTGTGCCATCTTAGCCATTTTCAGAGTTTGCCGTAGCCCAGTATGTTTAGTAGGTGCTGCACTTTCAGCAACAAATACTTGCAATTTATCCTTCTGTTTCTTTGTCATAGATTGTCGAAGATCCAACTTTAAATTTACTCATGATAACGTTCCGATTTATGCCTCTTTCTAGCATCTTTATAATTTCTAATTTCTGGTTCAGTGTCAGGGTTATATGCTTCCTTTTTAAAGTTTTCTTACCACTACTACTAGCACCTTCATTCACTTTTGACTCCATCACTATGTACACTCTGATGGGCAAAAATATTCAAAAGTCAAAACAGCACTCTCCAGTGGGTCACAATGCTAATGGCAGACTGACTCAATGCCTTCGGGTTCACTGGGTCCAACTGCTGCCTCTGGTTTTTTGCGCAAGCTCACTCACTTGATCTTTTGATCCTGGACTATCGGTCTACTGGTAAAAGCAGCAGGGACAGGGAGG